TAAAACTAATATATCTTAAATTTACACACACTGAACAATTTGTTTCTGTAGACAGATTATTTTCAAATCAGGGCCCTTTTAGGTGTCAAAAATTACAAGCACGATTGAAATTACCAACAAGCAGACAGACTTACTCAACTTCAATATATACAAAAACTTGTAATGTAGATTATTTTATTTACACATAAGCACGGACATAATTATGTGTATATAAAATAATCTACATTACATGATTGAAGTTGAGTAAGTATTACACTATTAGTATATATGAAAGTAATATTGATAATTGAAATAGTTCTACTGTGTACCCAAATGTGAAGTGGGGTGATTCAACAATCCTCGCATTGCCAAAGATATCACAAGGCGATGCAAAAGTACTAATTATTACATTACATAAGTGGGTTTTTTTTAACAATAACACATATTTACACGTTCTAGATATTTAAAGAAATTTTGTAATATGACTGAATGATTAAAATATGGTTGCGTGCATGTGTATTATTTCTTTAAATATCATATATAACTAATAATCAAAGTTTATAGGAAAGGAAAACATGTGCCCCTGAGAGTGCCCCCCCCCCCCAAAGAGTTTTTTTTTTTAATTTAGATATTGTTTTTTTTTTTTTCGTGTCTAAAAATTTCTCGTTGGAACCCTCTGTGCTCTTCAGAGCTTCTAATAGGTATAAAGAAACAAAAAACTGACTTCGTTTCCTCTGGAAAGTACGTGAGAAGGGTTCACATCTTTCCATTCCCGTGAAATATAGTTTTCACAATTGTTTAGTTCCCCGTTCGTTTGGATGTGTGGGATTTTCTTCTTCTTTCTTTTCTTTTTTTTTTTTTTTTTGGTTTGTCAAAAAAAGTAGATTTTTTTCAGCAGGTTTGATCCACTCTGCCCCAGAAAAATTCCTTGACCTGCCCTTATAAAGACTATAGCATTTCCCAAGGTTTTTACTACATCGGATTTTATATGCATTATTGCTCTTACATGTATGGATGCTTACACGTGAGGGAGAGAGAGAGAGAGAGAGAGAATATACTTGTATTGAAAATGCAAAAAATATTTATCCATAATCTTGCGGATAAGGTTTCAAGTAATCCTTAGACTATCTTTTAAGATTTTCTCAAAATACAATTGAAATTGAATAGGTACCAAATTTTAGACTGTCTGCGGAAACTCTCCAATCTGGAAAGGCTTCCTATACATGCATATAAAACAGGCACGTAGCACCGTTTCTCAAAATGTATGTACATGTATGCGAGGGGGAGCAGTAAAATGATTGACAAGCAAAAGAAAAACTTAAAACTTAGGCACTTAAAAATTGGGAAGTGAAGAAGGAAAATTAACATTTTAGAAAACATCCGTAGTCAGGGGAGGGACTGATTCCATTCATACTATCATTTTCGGCAGAAAAAATATTTGAGTACAATAATGTTGGATAAAAGTGGGGGGGGGGGAGGGGGAGCCAGTCAGTCTTGAAATAAAAAAAATCCTTACAAAATCAACCGTAAAAGACAGGCCTGTAGAGCGCGTGGGTGGGGGATGCCCCCTCCCACTTTTTTCCGAGCATTATGTTTTACTGTTTAGTATGAAATACACACTCAAAGGCTGACCCCCTCCACTTTTTTGATGCACTATAGTCAAATTGTCGAAAAAGTTGCCCCCTCCCCAACACCGCCACAAAATAGGATTTTGGAGATTTTTTATATTTTATTATTTTATTTATTTTTTCATCATTATTATTATCATAATTTTTATTATTAGTTTTTTTATTATTATTATTTTTCAGGTGAATTGTCAATTATTTAAATTCTTAGATCCTACGTGCCTGAAAGACACTTTGAGAAAAGGGAGTATCCCCCCCCCTCCCCCCGCTCCACCTGTGTGTATATTTGTTAATTTGTGTTCTGCTTAAATGCTTTTATGTCGTGTTTTAAATCGTTTTCTTACACCATATTACTCAGTTTATTTTTTAGATAATCAGCAATCACACTTTTTTTTTTTTTTAGTGATTTCTTTCTTTTTTTTTACCCAGTCGCGCAAATACTAAATCCCTTTTTCACTTTTGATATTTTCCCTGATCAAAATCTGATCAGCACGGACTAAGTGCATTTGAGTGCTAGGCTGTACGATGAAGTGACAACGTGTTTACTGTTGAGTATTTACGGAGTTTATTACTTTTTTGTGATGCATATTTCAATAAATGGAATACAAGGTGTAAATCACTCGGCATGTGCACATCTTCGAACGGGTACAGTGGTCTGTTTCCAGGTATGAATAAGTTTACAGCGTTCGACGTGTTCTCTCGATATGCATCAATTGTATTTGAATGCATATGGATATGCATAGCAAATACGCTGGTTGTTTGTTCCATTCTTACGATAGTTATTGCAAATTGTTTGTAAGAGTTTTACTGTGTATTATTTCAACTGTTCAAGTTTATTGTGCATATATTGGTATGCTTTTAAAAAACATGCGCAACCATGTTTTCTCTTCCAAACTTGCATTTATATTATTCAAAACGATAATTATTCATAATTATCGTTATGACTGTTTTTATCTGTTCTGGTTTTAAAATGTTTTCATCAATTCATGTGTTCCCAAATACTTTACTATCGGAGATGTGCACGCGTCGATAGCCAAACCAAAAATTCAGTCAAGTGTAACGAGGGTACTGGGGTATATATCGTTACAATAAGACAAGATATCTGAAAGAAATATGGCGGAATAGTTGGTATGAAACAAGTCGTACATTGATGCAAATGTTGCGTTTTTAAGAATTCATGTCAGCTTTAATAAATAGAATTATGTATCTTAATGTAGTCTACTTCTGTGCCAAGTTAAATTGAAAATAAATGGAAACTGTAGGAGGATTAGCGTTTTGAAAGTATTTCACAGAAATTTCTATTTTTAGTAACCATGACAACATCATTCACTGAATCAAAAACCGAAATACATATTAAGTATCGTAGTGTATTCTAATTGTGTGCCAAATTACATGTAGATTAAAATCAGACCAAAATTGTAGGAGGAGTACCGTTTTAAAGGAATTTCACAGAAATTTCTATTTTTAGTGACCATGGCGACACTGTTCATCGAAATCAAAAACCGATGCATTAAATTATGTATCTTAGTATGTAGTCTTCATGTATGCCAAATTATATTAAAAGCAGACTAAAACTGTAGCAGGAGTAGCGTATTAAAGGAATTTTACAGAAAGTTCTATTTTTAGTAACTATGGCAACACTGTTAATCGAAATCAAAAACTGATGCACTAAATTATGTATCTTAGTGTGTGTAGTCTACTTGTATGCCAAGTTATTTTGAAATCAGACCAAAACTGTAGGAGGATTAGTGTTTTAAAGGAATTTCACAGAAATTTCTATTTTTAGTAACTATGGCAATACCATTCATTGAAATCAAAAACCGATGCACTAAATTATGTATCTTAGTGTAGTCTATTTGTGTGCCAGGTTATATTGAAATCAGAGCAAAACTGTAGGAGGAGTAGCGTTTTAAAGGAATTTTACAGAAATTTCTTTTTTTAGTAACCATGGCAACATTGTTCATCCAAATCAAAAACTGATGAAATAAAATATGTATTTTAGTGTTGTCTACTTGTGTGCCAAGTTATATTGAAATCAGACCAAAACTGTAGGAGGATTAGCGTTTTAAAGGAATTTTACAGAAATTTCTATTTGTAGTAACCATGGCAACATCGGTCATCGAAATCAAAAACCGATGCATTAAATTATGTATCTTAGTGTAGTCTACTTGTGTGCCAAGTTGCATTGAAATCAGACTAAAACTGTAGGAGAAGTAGCGTTTTAAAGGAATTTCACAGAAATTTCTATGTTTAGTAACCATGACAACACCAATCTTCGAAATCAAAAACCGATGCACTAAATTATGTATCTCAATGTAGTCTACTTGTGTGCCAAGATATATTGAAATCAGACCAAAACTGTAGGAGAGGTAGCGTTTTAAAGGAATTTCACAGAAATTTCTATTTTTAGTAACCATGGCAACATCGGTCATCGAAATCAAAAACCGATGCATTAAATTATGTATCTTAGTGTAGTCTACTTGTGTGCCAAGTTATATTGAAACCAGACCAAAACTGTAGGAGAAGTAGCGTTTTAAAGGAATTTCACAGAAATTTCTATTTTTAGTAACCATGACAACACCGTTCTTCGAAATCAAAAACCGATGCACTAAATTATGTTTCTTAATGTAGTCTACTTGTGTGCCAAGATATATTGAAATCAGACCAAAACTGTAGGAGAGGTAGCGTTTTAAAGGAATTTCACAGAAATTTCTATTTTTAGTAACAATGGCAACATTGGTCATCGAAATCAAAAACCGATGCATTAAATTATTTATTATATACCCATCAATTTCCTTGTTTTTGTTACTGTTAATTTTACAGAGTGTGATCCGACTTTCCAGATCACCACACTGTGGTTTTCTGAATCCATATCACTGCTCTCTGAAACTGATGACGTAGTACACAGAACGCATATATTCCTGCGCGAACTACTTTTGTCCTTGACCCACTAAACGGAAATAAATGAACTGAATGTAAACAAACCCCTGTCAATACACTACATATGACTTGATCATTTTCTCCACATAATTCTGATTCATTAAAAAATATCTTTATGTTTTAAATGATTATTTTTTTACCTATATAAATTAAGGAAAATTATGAAAATTAAAAAAGTAAAATAAAAACATCACAATCGTCGTCTGCATGCTCATTTACTATAGTAAGCTGCCTAGTGTTCAGCAGACATCAAAATGACAAATTTAGATAATTTAAGTACTATCAACACCAATGATTTGTGTCCTGGCAATTTTGATCTACTGGATAGCACCTCAGAGTCAGAATTACAGGAAATTTACCAATTATTTGACACTGAACCATCAGATTTTAAGGACATACCAATGCCCCCTGCAGATGAAGTAAGTGGAAGTCTCTTGGAAAATAAATCAAAAAACAAAAATATGCCAACGTTTATTGAAGTAAATGAACAGACAAAAAATGAATTTGTACAACAAATGAAAAATAAAAACACAGTAAGAAAGACGGAATCAGCTGTAAAACAGTTCAAAGCATGGCTTCAGCAAGATCCAAGGAAGGAAAAACGTGACATCAATAGGATTGATCCTAGCGAGCTGGATAACTACTTAGGCTCTTTTCTTCTCTCCATCCGAAAGGCAGATGGTTCAGACTATGAGCCTGATACCTTGACCAGTTATCACAGATCTATTGACAGGTACCTACGGGAAAAAAAATACCCATTTAGTTTAGTATCCGATAAGGAATTTATGACAAGTAGAACTGTTCTTGTATCTAAACGAAAGGAATTAAAACAGAAGGGCAAGGGAGGTAATCCAAATTCAGCAGAACCACTAACAAAAGGTGAGGAAAAGTTGCTACAAGAGAAGGGCTGCATTGGTTTAAATAGCCCGAAGGCATTACTAAACAAAATGTGGTTACAGAACACCGTGATGTTTGGAATCAGAGGGGGTACTGAAAATCACAAACTTAGATGGTCTGATATCCAGCTCTTACAGGATGAAAATGGAAGGGAATACCTAGAATTTAGAGAACGGGAAACAAAAACAAGAACTGGTGAAAATACTCATCTTAGAGCTTTCCGTCCGAAACAGTATTCAAATCCAGAAGATCCTATGAGCTGCCCAGTAACTGCATATAAGGCTTTTAGAGACCACAGGCCGCCCTCTACCATGACTCCTGAAAGTCCGTTTTATATTGCAATTAACCACAAACGACCTCATGGATCTCCAATTTGGTATAAAAACCAGCCCCTTGGCGAAAATACACTGCGCTCAATTATGCGGGATATGGCTGAACGTGCTAATTTACCTGGAAGAAAAACAAATCATTCAGCACGAAAAACGAGAAGTCTGTGAGCCAATGCTCACTAATAATACCCCCGCTCTGATGTGAATACACAAGTTCAGTTATGGACAAACACAGTGATAATCAGGAAATTGACACTGGATTAGTAAAAAATGAATCCCTACATATGGCATGCCTAAACAAACATGGTGTTAAGATTTCAAGCACCTGCGATGAGTAGTTGCTGAGAAAACTGCGACCAAAATTTGTTATGTATGGTACAGACAGATGCAGGGATAAACAGGAAGTTAACATCGGATTTGTACCAAAATGAATCCCACCATATGGCATGCCTAAAAAAGATTGAGCTAAAATGTCAAGCATCTGCAATGAGTAGTTGCTGAAAAAACTGCGACCAAAGTTTGTTATGTATGGTACGGTTAGACACACGGATTAACAGGAAGTTGACATCGGATTAATACAAAAATGGATCCCACCATATGGCATGCCTAAACAAAGAGTGTGTTAAAATTTCAAGCATATGCGATGAGTAGTTGCTGAGAAAACTACGACCAAAATTTGTTATGTATGGTACGGACAGATGCACGGATAAACAGGAAGTTTATATTGCATTCGTACAAAAATGAATCCCACCATATGGCATGCCTAAACAAAGAGTGTGTTAAAATTTCAAGCATCTGCAATGAGTAGTTGCTGAGAAAACTGCGACCAAAGTTTGTTATGTATGGTACGGACAGACGCACGGATAAACAGGAAGTTTACATCAGATTCGTACAAAAATGAATCCCACCATATGGCATGCCTAAACAAAGATTGTGCTAAAATTTCAAGCATCTGCGATGAGTAGTTGCTGAGAAAACTACGACCAAAATTTGTTATGTATGGTACGGACAGACGCACGGATAAACAGGAAGTTGACATTGAATATGTACAAAAATGAATCCCACCATATGGCATGCCTTAACAAAGATTGTGCTAAAATTTCAAGCATCTGCAATGAGTAGTTGCTGAGAAAACTGCGACCAAAATTTGTTACGGACAGACAGACAGACAGACGGACAGACAGACAGACACACAAGGGTAAAACAGTATACCCCCCTCTCCTTCGGAGCGGGGGTATAACAACATGTACAAAATTGCTGCATGCTGGTATATCCCCTACCACAATTCAACAATTAACTGGTCACAAAAACGTCCAAAGTATCAACAATTACGCCACTGCCTCAATCGAGATGCAAAAAACCATGAGTGACATTCTATCAAATAAAGAAAGTACTCAAAACGCAGGAAAACATGTCGTTTTTCCAGTTTCGACTTACCAGCTAGCTTCGAATCCGCCACCCGCCATTTCCACAACTTCGATGTCGACAATCTCGGCAAATTCTTCATTCCTTCAGTCAACATCCGCTAGAGAATTATTTTCAAACGCGAGAATGATGAACTGCACCATCAATATCAACAATTACGATTCACAACCTCAGAGACCCCCAAAACGCGTCCGTGTGATCTACAGCGATGACTCTGAATGACCCTATTACTCCTTGATAAACAAATTTATATCATTGTGCAACAAAAAATAGTTCCTTGAAAAGTCACTTTTTGTTGAATTATCAATAAATATTTCCAATTCTGCATCATATTATATTTTTCCTTTTCTTATTTTGTTGAGGGTATATAATAAATTTATCATTATAACAGTAACTTGATCCGAAGAGCCGGATCACGTCGAGTTGACAGGCGCGGATCACCAGATCAAACGAGACGCGAAGCGTCGAGTTTGATCTGGTGATCCGCGCCTGTCAACGACATGTTACTGTTATAATATTATATATGTATCTTAGTGTAGTCTAATTGTGTACCAAGTTATATTGAGATCAGACCAAAACTGTAGGAGAGGTAGCGTTTTAAAGGAATTTCACAGAAATTTCTATTTTTAGTAACAATGGCAACATCGGTCATCGAAATCATAAACCGATGCATTAAATTATGTATCTAAGTGTAGTCTACTTGTGTGTGAAATTTTATTGAAATCAGACCAAAACTGCAGGAGAAGTAGCGTTTTAAAGGAATTCACAGAAATTACTATCTCTAGTAACCATGTCAACACCGTTCATCGAAATCAAAAACCGATGCACTAAATTATGTATCTTAGTGTAGTCTAGTTGTGTGCCAAGTTATATTGAAATCGGAGCAAAACTGTAGGAGGATTAGCGTTTTAATGGAATTTTACAGAAATTTCTATTTTTAGTAACAATGGCAACACCGGTCATCGAAATCAAAAACCAATGCATTAAATTATGTATCTTAGTGTAGTCTACTTGTGTGCCAAGTTATATTGAAATCGGACCAAAACTGTACGTGAAGTAGCGTTTTAAAGGAATTTCACAGAAATTTCTATTTTTAGTAACCATGGCAACATCGTTCATCCAAATCAAAAACCGATGCACTAAATTATGTATCTCAATGTAGTCTACTTGTGTGCCAAATTATACTGAAATCAGAGCAAAACTGTATGAGGATTAGCGTTTTAAAGGAATTTGAAGTTAATATTAAAGTTTATAATGATTCAACAAAACCATTAATTTTGCGCCCATTTTTGCACAATTTAGTAAAAAAAAAACATCTTAAATTGGTTCTTATAATCTCCCTAAAATGGGAACCAGTTTAGAGAAATTTGACTAAAACAGTAAATTTGGGCGCAACTTATCCCACCTGATTGTTGTCGATAAAAGTTACTATGTCTACACATAATAGCGCTTGGAGGGGTTCTGCTTTATTACCATAATTAATTATGGTTACAGTTGTAAAGATGAACCACACGGAGAACCTACAAGTTCATATTAAAATATTACATTCCTCATAAACATTACTGAATACATTCTTAATTACTGTATATAGAGGTAAGATTATCACCTGTCTTGATTTTAACGCTGTTTTTACACCCAGTTAGGAAAAAGGCCATGACATTCTGAAAATGCGATTGGTGCTACATATTTGCTGTTTGCCAAATAATAAATAGCATCCACAGCATTCGCCACTTCCAATTGTCTTTTCACATTCCCCACTCCTGCACCTTCCAGAAATGACAGGACAACCTTATTTTTATGTGAGATCCATTCTATTTGGATGAAATACAGTTAAGAAGTTAAGAAAATGCTCATGTCTCACTCATTGAAAATACACTGAGAGAGAGAGAAATAGAGATACACTTTATTATACATTTAAAATTAAATGTTTATTGCATATCTTAATATCAGATAGTTCAAAATCTTTTAAGAATACATCATTGTTGAAGCACTTTGTGAAAAAAACTGATACCGGATATCTTGCTACCAAAGCACTTTGAGATGCTCATGAGCTCGTCCTCGGTTAAGTTGTTGTTTTCTATTGCAGTCAAGATGAAATACCTGTTAAAGTGTCTGAAGTTAACAAAATACTGATTTTTTTTTAAATTTTCAAATTCTATTATTTTCTTCTTTTTATTAAGCTGTGTGTACTCTAAGATACATAGAAATATCCACTATTATCATTTTAAGCTGCATATGTATAATCAATTTATAGGTATAATGTATAGTGTACTGTTTGTTTTCTGTTTTTTCTTGACATAAACTTTTTTCAGCATAATCTGCGCATCCATTGCAGATGTAAAGTGTTCTGTCAGAAAGAGATCCATGTCAATTTATGCATTTATAACATCTCGTCTGATCTTCCTTCCATCGTTTCGATGCACAGTATTGCTGCCTTCAAAATCCACACAAAATTTATCGTGTCTTCGAGAACTGCACGACAATATCCTCTTTTGCAGTATTTCTTGAAGAAAGAAAGATAGATCTGCATAAAAGTATGCATGTATATATAGTGCCCATCATAGTGATCTTTCATTATAAAACTTTTTTTAAATAAGTGTATTGATAAATTCGTTTTCACTGCCATTTGATGATTGAAAAGTGTATTTAGTTATGCCTCTTGTATGCTTAACCTATCTTGGATTTTTCAAGAAATTTCAGTTACATTCCGTTTGCGCTTCCGTATTTTTTATATCATACCTTAAGTAATTATCATTGGTCATTGCAGCACGTGATATATACTTCCTGTTCACAAATGGAAATAAGGTTAGCCTGGGTAGATATTCATATTTTAAAGGATTTAAAAAAAACATTTATAACTGTAAATCCTTAAGCCCTTGCATAAAAAGTTTTTAAACTAATCCAATGTCAAATGTGAGTTTTTATTAAAAACTCACATTTCACACTGGATTTTAGCCTCCAGTTCTTGTACGAAGCAGTGTTGGTCTAAAATTTCTCTCTTGTGTGGTCAGTTTTATAGCGTAAATTCGCGCCACAATGCTCTACTCCCGGATTTTTAAAAAAAAGCACGAGACAAGTGCTTACTTTGTATACAAAACAACGACACACCTGTTTATGGTAATGTTTATTTTTCCGCTATAGAGGAATAATCGCGCTTTAGCGAGCTCGAGATGTTCTCACAACAGGGGTTCCAAACCTGTTAATGTACTTGTTATAATCATGTACTCCATCAACTGTTGGCAGATAACGCCACTGAAACTTTCAATATAGAGTATACACGAATTTTAACTTTTTAATTCTAGGCTATAGTCAATCAGGAGCCAGGAACTTCAGAATTTGGAAAAGGTATCCTTGCTCATCATAACTATGCACAGCGTTTGTTTCCTAAACACTCAGGTGCAGAGAAGATTTTCAAGAATTAATGCATTTTTACTATTTAATCAAATAAAGCCCCTTTCCTACAACCAGAATACCTGACCCTTGGGCCACAAGTTTCAAAATTTTGGAAGAGAACCCCTTGCTCATAATAACTATGCATGTAGTTAATCTGTTTAATATACAGGGGAGAGAAGATTTGTAAAGAATTTATGCATTTTCACTTTATGATGAAATATATGGAGATAACGAACAGTATTCAAGCTCAAAAGTCCATTAAACAATACAAAATAGGAGCAGAGCAAACACGGACCTCTAAACATCAGAGGTGGGATCAGGTGCCATGGAGGAGTGAGCATCCCCTGCCGACCGGTCACACCCGCCGTGTGCTCCTTGTCCTGATCGGGAAATAACGGAAAAATCCGTCGTCAATTCAGTATGTAAATAATGGCCTAACAAATAGTATGAAAAACGTCAGTCAGCATTTGACTCCATGATGTAAGAGCCCCATTTTAACACCAGAACCCCTGAACCTGGGGTCATAAGTTACAGGATTTTAGTAGGGAGTTCAATGCTCATTACAATAATGACATTTCAACTGCTTGATGCTTGATGTCCAGAGGTGAAGAAGATTTTTAAAGATTGCACTACATATAATTTTGGTGGTTTTGGTAGCCCCATCTATCTGGCCGGGGGGGGGGGGGGGGGCAGGAACCATGAAATCCACAACTTTAGAAGCAATATGATAAAACTGGTTGAGCTGTTTCAGAGAAGAAGCTAAAAATGTTCAAATGTCAACGCACGACGACGGATGAAAACAGATAGCAATAGGTCACCCGAGTGACTCAGGTGACCTAAAAATGTTTTAAAAGTCTACATATAGTCAGATATCCATAAATTATCCATTGATAAAATGTTAACGGACGACGCACATCGCATAACGAGGGAAAAGGGCAAACAGCAATAGGTCACTTGAGTGATTCAGGTGACGGAAAAATTTAAAAGACAGATAATTTTTTCGACACATTTTCCGAAAGGGTGTGTCCATAACGACTTAATGAGACCAACATATCATCGCTGTATTCTCAATTTATCTCAGTGGGCATTTTTGCCCAGGGGCCTATTGATTGACAATAAATGTTTAAGCCAAAAATAAAAATTCACCCCTTTATAAAATCTACAAGGTCTTTTTCCATGGAGGGCTGATTTTAAGGGTGAAGACTCTTTTTCTACAACAAAACGGTCATTTTTCGAAGACGATTAATCGAAATTCTTCTACGGGTGTCGTTAATTGTCTTTACACCGTCTTTTGTCAGAGTGTTCAACGGGATATTCTGACTGCACTACTTCCAAACAAAAAAATACAATATATATGCCTAATCGCTGTTGATACTTTCTCAGTGCTAGCTCCAACAGTCGCAACTCTTCACGCACGTTGACCATCTAGTAAAAACTGCTTCAAACCCATTGAAAAAAACCTTTTGCGCTTGCATAACTTAGATGATGACTATAAATAAACAATACATTGATTGAGTGTATGTTGTTTTACGTCCCATTCGAAAATTTTCACTCATATAGAGACGTGATCATTTACCGACGAAGTGCTTCAAATTTATACCTATATTCGGCAATCTATGTCATTGAGCAGTGAGGGTTCTCTATCGTACCAACGCCTACCGGGATCTCATTTTTTAGGGCTCATCCGATAGACCCGTGATTTTCACTTCTAATGCCGGGCGCTTGGCAAAAGAAGTCACTTCTTAATTAGGTTTAAGTCTTAGCTGACGCGCCGCGGCGAATAAGGATCGAACGCATACCTCCCGATCAAGAAGCGAACGCCCTACCACTAGGCTACTTTGACCAGTGAATATACAATATAATACGTTGGTTGATTCTAAAGTAATGTCACAAAATCGATTATGAAAGATTTTATAACAGGTCTCGTCTATCGCCGCACGGCAAGGATATAGCGACG